GTTTTATCTTTTCTTGCCATATGCCGTGTGTGCGTTGCGTCCAACCGGGCTTTTGCCTCAGGGGTGGTGAGCCACGTGCATTTAGCCCCTGTTATTTTTTCTAGATTGAAATACCCCCTACTCTCCGGGGTATATCCTGAACAATATCCCCTTTCGTCCATCCATACCAGGAGCCATTTCCAAATGATGCTGTGAACGCAAAGACACGAGACAAGGATTAACGCTTTCTTCATTCTAATACTAATTTTTTCTTTGAGTAACGGCACTGATGAAAAATAATCAAGAATAATTAACTTCAGATCGGGGTAGTCGATTCTTTTTCCCATCCTTCATATGTCTACTGAATATGGCCTTTTCCCGCTGGCAGCTCGACACGATCACGACAGCTGCGCACAGGGACACGCGCCTTCTTTTTCACTCAAGATCCCAAAGACACGAGGATCGATTACATATACACATTTAATCCAAGTTTATACATCTCAAGGCGCACATATAAGAGCAAATGGTTTTACCTTTTGCGCTTGAAGAACAGCTGTCGTCGAATGAGGGCAGATCTCGAATCATTTCCATACATCATGTCACTCCCATGCAGACTTCATTTACCAGAGTGATAAATATTGTGCATTTCATGCTGCATCGCTGCTGACGACGAAGAATTGGCGAAGCAATACAGCTGAATATTTTTTATTCACCACAGTGAATCGATAAATCGTCAATTTCTCGACCCCTTGAAAATTGTACTTGGGACTTGGGACCCTCGTTGCCATGGGGAATCATATTTTCACAAGCGAGAAAAAACGCTTCCGGAATAAAAGCATAGGCCACACAGGCGCTAATATTCAATTTGTCGCTCCCTTTGAAGCCCGAAGTTTCCAGGCTCAAGTATAACGCCACCCTATTCCACTAACACAACTGTATATCGGTATCACAAAACCGTACCACCATTACTTCAGGCGGAGCGGAGGATAAAGTGAGAGTAAAAAACAAGGTACACCAGGCCTTCCAAGGTGTCTAGTCATCTGCTAGTATTCGTGTTTCTTTTGTGGAACAGAGAGGATATTAATTGGAGTAGGTAGGGTATGATACACATGGCCGTAAGCGTGATACTGCAGTAAAAAAGTGGACCTATGGAAAAAATATGGGTGTTTTCAAACAAAAAAACGTGTTGTAAAACAAAGTACTAATTAGGCACAGTTATTTGAATCTTCACTTTGTTCGGGGCTTCATCGAATGTTTGGATTCGAATCATCAATCAAATTCAATGCAGATTTTTACATTGAATGTTTTCTAGTGTTATAAACCTGCCGGATTCCGAAGACTCTTCGAGCTGTAGAGAAAATAAAGGATGTTCTTACGTCTAGAATGATTTTATCAAATTATTATTAACTTCACGTAATATTATATATCAAAATAATTAAAGTCACTCGTGAATGTAACCTCTAATGATTAGAAATTTTCTCAGGACCAAATTTTACAGGTGCAAACTATATTCCGTTTTCAACATTCTTCCTTGCTGGACTTTGACATCCCCAGTTTTTTAAATATACGCACGTCATAAAGGCGCCGCGTCGCTAAGGTAATTAATATATCTATATTTATTGCAATCCGATCCAAACAAAGGCCTTTGATTGTAGATTACGCCTAAAGAAATATTCTGCTCATCGTAGAGAAGTACAAATACCTGCTTGATCGAGCATGTGACAGTTTATGATAGGGCTGCGCACGAGACCGGGACTAGTCTCGGTCTCGTCTCATCTCGTTTTTTCGAGACAAGACCGAGACGATACCGCCGCGGAACCAAGAGTCTCGCCGAGACTTTCGAGCTGAGTCGCGGTTTTTTTTTACCTTTCCGACCCGAAGGGAGGAAGTTATTATAAAGACCCCGCAAATTAAATATGGAGTTTCCATGATTTGTCCACGTTTCTTGATGTTTCTAATCATCTTGAAAATTTTTTTTAGACCCTTCGTCTATGCATTTGAGTATGTTTGTGTGTACGTATGTGGTCAAAATTTTGTCCAACGATGTTTCCCAAACGAATAAAGCGATTCAATTTTTTTGAAATCGATGAGTCTTTATGTAACTAAGAACTAATTTGTTTATGAAAACGCGATCGCTTCAGCAATTCTTCAGTTATTCGCGTAGAACTTGTGAAAAAATGCCAGAAAAAGATGACTGTGTGTTTTTACTGTAAGGGCAATAAGATGATGAATGTTAGAAATCATTTCTCATCTTGTGCTGACAAACGTTGAAGAAAAAAAGTTGTCTCTTGAAAAACCATGTCTCTTCTTGTGAAAACAGAACAACATCACAACGAGACGAAACCGAGACGAGACATACAGTTTTGATAGCGGAACGAGATCGAGACCGAGACCAATATGATACAAAACGAGACGAGACGATACCATGTTAGCCAGTAGCGAGACCATACCGAGACGATATTGAAATTTTCAATTTTTTTCGAGACCAAGCCGAGACTTCTCAAAATCTCGTCTCGTTTCGTGCTCAGCCCTAGTTTATGATTAGTAATTATAATCTTCTAATGGCTCTTGACATCAATCATTCTTCAATCCAAACACTGCTTTCTGTATTTAGTTTCAATATTCCTAATAGCACGATCGTTGCAGTGACCCCTGATTTATCGAACAAAATGATTCTAATTATTTCATATTTCTAATCTGGCGTCGGTATTCTACTCCCAGCGAAAGGAATTGGTCAATGAGGTTCTAAATCAATTTGTGCAACGCGTCGATGTAATGATTAAGCGTCAGTAATTACATATACCGCATATGTCAGAGCTTCAAAGGTACTCAAAATCAGCAACGTGTGGTATATTAGCAATATACACGAATCCTCGACCAAATCACGATTCCCTTCAGTGGGGTTGGTGTCGGTTATTGCGATTAGAGGAAGAGAGGGGTACACTTTATGGAGTGTAACGAGTCAGGAGCGAAGAACTGGAGACAGTCGAATTGAGAAAGGCGAAGTGGGGATTGAGTGCGGCTTTATGGGACAGGGGTGATGAGCACACGGGCATGAACCCAGAGACTCGACGATCTTATCTAAACTTACGGCTTCCTGCAAAGTCCATCGTGAAGGGGTCATATTATACGCACTCGTCAAGTAAGACATGAAGTGTGCCAAGAAATTTCTTTGGTGTTAAATGAGATGGGCTCGACGGGATGCGCCTGTGCACTGAATAATTACCCTCTACGTCACTTTGATTTTCATATCTACAAATTTGAACACTAGCAGCATTGTTTTTTTCTTTCTCTTTCTTGAAACGCGCGTGTATAGTGAATAATCCAAGGAGCACGCTACATTGGGTTCTCGCTCTAAAACCCAATGACGCCTGACAATGGCTTCCATACTCGTTATACCGGTTTTATTACCTCGTGAGAACTCATTTTTCCACCGCGTTTTTCACGTACTCCCAATCTCCCGGCCCATCGCTCTCCTCCCTGGAATACTGAAAAGGAAGAAAAGGATTTCAATGGAATAAACGGAAAATTTAGCTGCTTTCAGTGGAGACCGAATGAATGTTATATAGGTGACCCTGAATTACTTTGAATTCCAGATTTTATATCAAGAGTTTAGAATGAAAATAAAATATATAATAAACTACTGCGTGGATGATGGATTGAGAATTCTAGGGTGATTGCAAATGAGGTATGAAAAAATGAGAGGAATGAATCGGGATAAAACGTAAAAAAAAGTACTGGTGATAGCTGGAGAGGTGAAGGAATAAGGGCGTATATAGAGGGTAGGTAGACGTATCGACCGCCGTAGGATGCTATTGTGGAAAGGGTGGGGCCTGGTTCGCAAGGGATGCACAGTAGGTACTTGCCGGGGTGAGACGAGAGGGAGGACGAGTCAGCACCAGCACACAAACCTTCGGGAATGGGTGGAAGACGGGCGAAGAGGAGAGAACCCTCCAGAGTTCCAGACTACTTTGGCACGACACAGAGGAGGGATCGCGGAAGTGAGATAGGAATGAAACGTCACGCATCCCTTTTTTCTCAACTTATCCTGTCCTTTTTTCCGCAAAAAATCATTATTCGATGGTGAAAGATGAAAATTGAATATTATTGAAAAGAGGAAAAAAAAGGACGAAGTGAAGAGGTTATCAATAGAAATGTACTGGGAGATTAGAGCCCTTTTCAATACTTTGCAGAACAGTAACATAGATCCCTTGATTTATGCGTTCATGCGAATTTTTGTCGCATCAGCGGTTTTCGCCGACTGAACGTCAAAGTACTCGGTGAAGAACGCTGGAGTCTCGATGATAGAGATTTGAGAGAAGCACTTGGATCTTCATCATTCATCCGTTTCACTCGGTGCGGAATAATAATTCAAGGGTCGAAAGACAAATGCACCTCTCTCGCATTCTCCCCCTTCTTGCATTATCTGTCGTATAATTTCCCAGACACGTACCTCTTCACTCTTTCACATACTTGATAGTAATTAGGTGACACGTATTGGAATTACAGCTTGAAATGGAAGAAACAATTTGCCGTTGGTTACCACAGAGAATCGTTGCAAAAACTGTTGGTGTGTAAAGTCGCCACGCAAGTTACTTGGCTCCGAGTTTTGAGTAACAGGTGCTGGAGTCCAAGAGAAGGCAGTAATTGCGCGTGAAGCTGGTTACCAGTGGAGTGGCGATGGCCAAAAGGAATGGCAGCCGACTTATCGAGCGTCAGGTGTGCCATCATAGCACACGCAAGGATACATTTTTTACACTTTTCTTTTTTTTTTTTTGGTTGTTTCATTGCGATCTTTTGTTGGTAGTTTTGTAGTATGTGGTCCACTCACCGAGGCAAAAACGTTTATCCGTCGACCTCTCCGAATTCAAATGGAGCCAGGAGAGAGACCACGCCCTTGGTGCGTGGGGTGCGAACTTCCGGTGCAAAAATTACGAGCAGCCAATGTGTTGCCGCAGTCCCGAGCTCGAATCTCCCGAGATTCTGAGTTGTAAAGGAGAGAATAATTTTTAAAAACGGCGTGCAGCAATGAAAATTTATTTCCGCCAAAAGCTTAATTATCTTACCTTATGTTAATATAATTAAAAGTTGAATTGAAAACTATAATTGTACATTTTTTATGACTAGTTATGAAACCAGAATAACGAAGTTTTATTAGAGCAAAGAGTTGTGTAAATGCGTTAAAAGGCATGTAATTATCAAATTTTCAGGATCTTAGGAATATGCTTAAATTGCTATATGGGAGATTGATCAAATAAGAGGATTAATAAATATATGATTCATAAGTCTTTCAATTATTACAATGAATGCAGCTATAGAGTTGACGTCATTGCAAACCTGGTATTTTGTTGTCAAAGTTCATTATAACCATTGATGTATTACACGATGGGAGTTAAAGTTTTTCAGTGTTATTCCTATCTCCGGTAGTTGGATAATCATCATTTTTCTTCTTCTTTCTATTTAGCTCATCAACAATCGACTGATTTGATTTTCCCTTAGTCTCAGGCAAGAGAAGAAAAGTAAAAATGCCCGTACAAGCACAGAATGCTGCTAACATGTAGAATGATGTGTGGGTTCCATAATTAGAGGATATTAGTGGGAAAAATTTTACAGTTATAAAGCTAGCGGTCCAAAGAAACATCATCGACATTGAGGTCCCCAAACCAGCAATATCGGGGCTGAAAATCTCTGCTGCAACGATATATGCAGCTGGTCCAAGTCCCATTGAATAGGATACTGCGTATGCTGATAATACAATAAGTGGAAGCCAGGCAAATGAAGAGACGTCGACGTTCTGATCCATCAGTAGAAAGAATGTTCCAAAAAAGATATGACCAATCATCATCCCTATGCATGAAATTATGATAATGAATCTTCTCCCAGTAAGATTGATTGTCATTGTTGATAACCATGAGCCACCAATTTGGATTACTGTCAGAACTACGGCAGCAATATTCGGAGCCAATGAGCTATTCGCGAATTCGAATATCAATGGAGTATATGTCACCTTAAAAGATAAAATTGATAGATGCACAATATCCAGTATCTTGATAGGGAATATGATAAAAAATAGGATAACTTGAAGATATCTTACCACAATTGTATAACCCGATGTATGTTGTCCAATGAAGAGACCGGAAGCGATGATGAAGCCCCTGATTGTTGCACGATCTCTGAATAAGTCCTTGATTTTTACCAATTTGTCAGGTTCAACCATCTTGTCGAGGCTCTCTTGGAGTTCGGATAATTCTCGATCGACGGCCACAGTGTCGTTATTTGTCAGCCACATTAACGATCTGGAAATGGGCGTTAAAAGTGAGTTCACTACTATATTAAATATAAGCATACTCCAGAGTATGTAATATTACTTGGTAGCCTCTGGGACTCTGGCCTTCCTTATAAGATAAACCGGTGTCTCAGGCATAAATAAAAATGTTATGAAGAATATCACAGGCAGAATTATTCCGACTATTGCAAATTGATGGTAAGTCAAGGTGGCACCAAAAATTAAAGCGATGAGAACTCCTATATTTATACTGAACGCGTACAGGCTGCCCAGTGGTCCTCCCATCGATTGATCCGCAATTTCAGTAACATAAAGTGACACTGCTGCACCCATTAGTGCGAGAGACACTCCACTCAGTATCCGAGCAATGAAAAGTTGCCAAAAATTTTGGGCAAAAAAAATGATCAACCAATTCATAGTAAGTGGAAATGCTATGGCAGATGCGGTCTTTTTTCTACCAAAACGCTCCAAGGTCCAAGCTGCAATCGGTAAGATTATGAGTGGCATGAGGACTGAAATTGAAGACAGCCAAGAAATCTCATCATCTGTCATTGGTTTTGTACCCACTGGAGTATCTTTCTTCAAAAGAGGTGGGATAATTGGTGACGCCCATCCCAAGGCCATTGCAGTAGATATAGTGGCTAAATTGGCTTCGTTATGAAAAGGAGTATGAACAGTTATGATTTCGCAACCGATTGCAACGATAGAGTTTTGAAATTAATTGAAAACTTACCGACAATGGCTGCTAAAAATTGACGCCTATTGCTCTTTTTTAACAAGTTTATTTGGAATTTCCTCATGTTCCTGATTTTTCTATTTTATCAATTATGTCAATTGTATCCTGCTTCCTCTAGGAGAACTGGCACCGATTGATGCCTCCTGAAATCTCTGTAGGAGGTGCTACGAGGAGATTCAGCGTCTAACTGTTATCGAATTGCTGCATAATACTTCATATTCCATTATCATTGATTTTTTTTTTCAATTCTATTGATAATTCTCAATGCATTTCCTATTGAGATCCTTGAAGACCTGATATTTTATCAACAAATACAACAACTCATGCTGTTCTAGTGTTTTTTTATTACCCTCACTATAACATGGAAGCAGTGGTACAATTTGATTGTGAGACAATATGCAATTTGGAAAATCGAAAAGCAAAAATGTGGTGTTCGGTGAAGGATAGTAAGGTTTTGTAACGTAAAACACTCGTAATTAACGTATATATCGAATTGAATTTATTCACCGCGAAAGTAACTTCGGTTTACACCACACGGAGAGAAATGTACGAGAAAAATTACCGTGCCCGCACAGTAAAGTTGGTTCAGATGGTCTTTCCAGGCCAAATGTACCGCAAAGAGTAGGAAAAAGTACTGTTGCACGAGTCATTTTTCGGATAAATGTGGGGAAAAATTCTTGTGCAGCACGGTAAAATCGAAGCGACAGTGAATTTTTACGAGAAATACGAGAAAAATTATGACACTGACTGGCAAATTTTTCCGGTGCTCTACCAGAATCCTAGGACCCGATCGCGCATTCGTAAGATTTCGGTACTCTTCGTCCCCCCTCCGCAACCACGAACATCGACTCAACGTGACCAGATGATTTATTCCGTCGCCTCCTCTAGCCTCCTCTCTCACATATCTCCTTACTGAAACCCCAGGTTAATGTTTTTCATAATATCAATTCAGTGAAATATTAATTAGTGTTGTGATAAAACGGTTAAGAAATAAAATAAGTGCCCTTTATTTTCGCTTCATGAGGTGTATAACGCTGTAGATATACATTGGCCTGTCAAACGTTCCACATACGTTTGCCGCGCATTCCGCTTTTAATATGGGAGAGAGGATATGGAGGAGAGGTTAAAATAAAATTAATAGGATGATATGCTGAATGACAATGTTTACTCATTTTTAACTATTGAATGAAATTTATCATGTAATAGAAAACAGTCAGGGATCAAGCTTTTATTGTGCGTTACCGGAATTTTTACTATGCAGCACCGGAATTTTTCTGGTGCTAGACAATTGAACTCACTTTACCAGACGGCACGGTAATTTTTGCCTGAATTTCGCCTGAAAAATTCTGGAATTTTTTTCTCCGTGCATGAGAGCTAGCTCTGTGAAGTTGGCACCCCACCTTGATGAATTGAAACGAAAATTTGATATTTGGTAGATTTTGATCGCCACATGATAGTAGTAGCATTTTTTTTGTTTGTAGTTGAAAAATTAGCGCCCCATACATTTTCAAAAAACAGTTAGGAACTATTTCATAGTTACAGCTAAAAGGACATCGGATTCTTATCTGCAATCGTTTGTAGTTAATTTTAGTTTTGAAATTTTTCCTATCCGACTTCAAATAAACGCCTCATTCATTTTCGAAAGACAGTTAGGAACTATTTTGCAGTTGCAGCTCAATTGGCATCGGATTTTGATTTGCAATCGTTTGTAGTTCATTGTAGTTTTGAAATTTTTCGAATCCGACTTCAAATAGACGCCTCATTCATTTTTGAAAGACAGGAACTATTTTGCAGTTGCAGCTCACTTGGCATCGGATTTTGATCTGCAATCGTTTGTAGTTGTTTGTAGTGCTTGCAGATTGTCAGTCCAATGAAAAAAATTGACGGTATGGTTTTTATGAAATGGTTCCGAAAAATTATTTTTCATAAAGAACCTGAAAAAGATCAGATATGTAGGAGGATTTGGTTGTAGTTGTTTTGAATGGTGGGAAAAATTAGGAAGAATGAAAGATTCTTATCTGTAATCGTTTGTAGTTTATTTTATTCCCGAAATTTTTTCAATCCGAATTCAAATAAGTGTTCTATTCATTTTCATAGTCCAAGTGGGGACTGAATGATAGCTATAGCCAAACTGACGACGGATTCCTGCCTACAATCGTTTGTAGTTGTTTGTAGTACTCATAGATTTCCAATCCAATGGAAAAGAAGGACGTGAGGAAGATCAGATACATAGGAGGATTCGTTTTTAGTTGTTTGTAGTAGGAAGAAAAATTGAAAATGAAATAGATTCTCATATGCAATCATTTTCAGTTAATTGTAATTCAAGTAAGCCTTCAATCCATTTTCGAGAAAGAGTTAGGAACTATTTTATAGCCGGACCTTAAGTGATATGGGATTTACATCTGCAATCGTTTGTAGTTGATTGTAGTNCGTGATCAGATACATAGGAGGATTCGTTTTTAGTTGTTTGTAGTAGTAAGAAAAATTGAAAATGAAATAGATTCTCATATGCAATCATTTGCAGTTAATTGTAATTCAAGTAAGCCTTCAATCCATTTTCGAGAAAGAGTTAGGAACTATTTTATAGCCGGACCTTAAGTGATATGGGATTTACATCTGCAATCGTTTGTAGTTGATTGTAGTTTTGAAATTTTTCCAATCCGAATTCAAATAAATGTTCTATCGGTTTTTGGAGCACAACTGGGGACTGAGTGATAGCTATAGCCAAAATGACGACGGATTCCTGACTACAATTGTGTTTAGTTGTTTGTAGTATCAGCAAATTTTGAGTACCAATGGAATGGTTTCTACGAAATGGCATCGAGGAATTATTTTTCAATAAGGACCTGAAAGAGATCAGATACCTAGAAGAATTAGTTTGTAGTTGTTTATAGTGGCGATTAAAATTAGGAAGGAAGGAAAATTTCAATCTGCAATCGTTCGTAGTTGAATGTAGTTATGGAATTCTTTTAATTCAAATTCAAATATACGTTCAATCGAATCTTGAATAACACTCAGGAACTATTTCACTGTTAAAATTACATTGGGTTAATGATTGCATATGAGAATCTATTTCATTTTCAATTTTTCTTACTACTACAAACAACTAAAAACAAATCCTCCTATATATCTGATCTTCCTCACGTCCTTCTTTTCCATTGGATTGGAAATCTATGAGTACTACAAACAACTACAAACGATTGTAGGCAGGAATCCGTCGTCAGTTTGGCTATAGCTATCACTCAGTCCCCACTTGGACTATGAAAATAAATAGAACACTTATTTGAATTCGGATTGGAAAAATTTGAAAACTACAATCAACTACAAACGATTGCAGATGTAAAACCCATATCACTTAAGCTTCGGCTATAAAATAGTTCCTAACTGTTTTTCGAAAATGGATTGAAGGCTTACTTGAATTCGAATTGACGAAATTTCGAAACTACAATTAACTGCAAATGATTGCATATGAGAATCTATTTCATTTTCAATTTTTCTTACTACTACAAACAACTAAAAACGAATCCTCCTGTGTATCTGATCTTCCTCACGTCCTTCTTTGACATTGGATTGGAAATCTATGAGTACTACAAACAACTACAAACGATTGTAGACAGGAATCCGTCGTCATTTTAGCTATATCTATCACTCAGTCCACACTTGGGCTTAAAAAATCGATAGAACATTTATTTGAATTCGGATTGAAAAAAATTCAAAACTACAATTAACTACAAACGATTGCAGATGGGAATCCCATGTCAATTAAGCTGCAACTATAAAATAGTTCCCAACTGTTTTCTGAAAATGGATTGAAGGCTTACTTGAATTCGGATTCACGAAATTTCGAAACTACAATTAACTGCAAATGATTGCATGTAAGAATCTTTTTCATTTCCAATTTTTCATACTACTACAAACAACTAAAAACGAATCCTCCTATGTATCTGATCTTCTTCACGTCCTTCTTTTCCATTG